AGCTTAGCTGCTGAATATCTTATGCCAGGGTCACTGCTTATTCAATACTAGGAGGGGGGGAACATAGGGAGCTGAGCTGCTGATTCACTACTAGGAGGGGGGGGGCATAGGGAGCTGAGCTGCTCAGTCACTACTGGGAGGAGGGAACACAGGGAGCTGAGCTGCAGAGTCACTACTGGGAGGAGGGAACACAGGGAGCTGAGCTGCAGAGTCACTACTGGGAGGGGGCTACATAGGAAGCTAAGCTTCTGAGTCACTACTGGGAGGGGGGAACAGAGGGATCTGAGCAGATGATTCACTACTAGGAGGGGGGTAATAGGGAGCTGAGCTGCTGAGCCATTACTGGGAGAAGCGAACAGAAGGAGCTGAGCTGCTGAGTCACTACTGGGAGGGGGGAATGTAGGGAGCTGAGCTGCTGGGATAGAGAACCAGAGGCATCTAAGTTGCTGAGTCACTGCTGGGAGGGGGGGCATAGGAAGCTAAGCTGCTGAGTCTCTACTGCAAGGTGAGCTGCAGGGGGAGCTGAGCTGCTTAGAGAACACTGATTAAAGAAGAAGTCACACCATACCCATCATTGTTGCCTCCGGTCCCCCAGGGGGGACAGTGCATGTAGCACGTTGTCCTGTATTGATTGGTGCTGTGGATACTGAGCTAGCATGGCTGACAGCACGCCACCTCCCCACACTGCTGTTTGACCACACTGCTCAGCAAGAGAAGAATACCAGCACCTCTCCTGGAGCAAACGCGCGCCCAAGATCAGTTTCATCACCACTCACTAAGGAAGTGTATCATATCCTCATAGTTCTCAGGAAAGGACCGGGGGGTAGAAAAGGATTTGTGAGCTAAAATCTATAGGAGCCTTGATTTCACTCATGGCGGACTAACCTTACCGCAAGGTACCGCAATGAGCACTATAAAGCCGTACATTGCCCCATACACACCTCGCTTGCCAAAACTCATCTTCCTGAAGGGTTTTTTGCCTGGCTTTGATCTTGGCCTTGATGGTCCTGAGGAATCCGTAGATGATGTCTGTGAATGGAAAATGATTAGATCATTATCATTGTAACCCGCCATACTAGGATAAGTACTCGGTGCCGCCAGCGGCAGTTGTGGCAGAAGATGCAGATGTCATTGTTAGAAGCATTCAGACACACTAACCAGATTTAAACAATGAATTCCCCTCGTAGTTAAATAAAACTACAATGAAGTTGTATGGATTGTCCCTGAGCACGGATGGCTTCACAAAGTCCTTCACAACCCAGAAGTTCCGGTCCGCTGCTGCAAGCACTATTTTTGTAGATCACACTGGACCGGAATGCAGGCACTAATGTGCCTGCGTTCCGGGTGCGGGCGATCGAACTGTGGGCGGGGGACATGGCTGCGGTGCAACCCCACGCCCCCTTCCGCCCCTGAACGCAGGGAGTCGTTGACTTGCATTCCAGTGCGTTCTAGAGGCGCCGGCATCCTATCCTCCCGCGGTGCTAGTGTGGCCGATGTTGCATACGGGGAGAGGTGCCCCGCCCCTTTCCGTCTGCGGCTTCTGACACATTCAGCCGTCAGCCGCACGAGCACCGCAGGAGCATAGCCGTAGCCAGCTCCTTTTGCGCACGTGGTAAGAAAAAAAAACTGCCCCCAACAGGCGTGTGACATCACCCAGCGCCCTGCCTCCAGGATTTTTTAATTTAATTTTTTACTATTTTTTATTTCATTTTTATTATTTCTTATTTCATTTTTTTTTAACTGTTGGGGGGGCTACGGGGAAATATTAGGGGTCTAAACAGTCCCCTGATGTTTCCCTTTTAAAATAAAAAAGAAATTGGGCACACAAAGTCCCCAATCTCTTTTTCTGCAGCCTCTGTTCTAAATGAATGGAGAGCACAGAGGCTTCCCATTCATTCAGAAAATATTAGGACCTTATGGGCACCCCTGCTCTACACGCTTCTCTGTTCATAATGCCCATCATCATACCCTTCACACTTCTCTCCTACACATAATGTCTGCTATTATACCCTACATATGTATCTTCTGCACACCATGCCCACTGTCATACCCTTCACACTCCTTTCCTGCACATATGGGCTGTGGTCATACCTAAATGATGATAATTGATACATTTTAAATGTAAAGCTACAACTCAGACTTCAACCTGACCCTACAGCAGAGGGCACGTTTCTTCACTCCAGACATTTATTACGTGGAACACTTACCTGTACCCTGGACCTGAGTGTTCTCAAGTAGGACGATGAGATGCTGCTTCTTACCGCTGTCCGCACCTAAGTACAGAGGAGCGTCATCATACATCCAGAGCAACAATGTTCTAACATTTCTATACCATCTCATCACCCAAAGAAAGCAGAGCTGAGAAAGAACACCAACCTCCAATGCTGTACATAGTGTTGTTGGGTATTACAGCTGTAATGGCTGGGGGCTAAAGAGACCCTGTCATGAGGCAAGATGGCTGTGTGAAAAAATGCTGCAACCTATTCCAAGATACATCCACCAACTGGAGCCAAAGGATGTCTCTAAACCTAGAAACACCCCGGAAGAACTACAAGAAGGTGTTCCTTCTTCTCTTAATGCACATTAATGAGTGTCTTTTCATGTACTGAGGTGTGTTGTGTTAAAGCAGTCTATTAAAGTGACACTAAACTCCGGAGTTAAATCCTAAAAATACATTCACGTCCCTTAAATATTAACAAAAATGTGTCTTATTTGTGTATCACTCGGCTGTAGATCCTCCAATCATCTCTGCATTGGTGCTGACACTGTCCTTCATTCTGGAGGGGGGCTACTTCTGTTCCCCATGGTCCCTGTGTGTGTTGTAAAGTAGTCACCGCTCCAAGCTCGTTCCTGTGATGGACTACAATCTCAATATAAATTAGTAGACTAAACGTGAGATTGTAGTCCATCACAGGAGCGAGCAATGTAGCACAGGGGCCATTTTGCTGGGAGGTACCGGTATACACGTATATATACAACATTATGACCGCACACCTAATATTGAGTAGGTTTCCCCTTTGCCCCCAAAACAGCCCAGACTAGGGATGCACCGATATCGTTTTTTCAATATTGAGTACGAGTAGCGATATTTTTTTCCCCGCTGCTCGCCTATACTGAATATCGATACCAGAAGTCCCATTAAGGAAGCCAGGCAGTGTGTAAAGACCCGCCACTTGGCTTCCCGATTAGCAGGGAAGCCGTTTCCATACTCCCTCGTCACCAGCTGACGAGGAAGCATGGAGCCGGCTTTCTGGCCACATACCAGTACAGGTAATGACTCGCTGCCTGGCTTCCTAAATGGCCAGGAAGCCAGTTCCATGCTCCCTCGTCTACAAGTGATGAGGGAGCATGGAGCTGACTTCCCGTTCAATCAGGAAGCTGGGCAACATGTAATGACTCGCTGCCCGGCTTCCTGATACCAGAAGTTCGGGTATTAGGCTAGGCATGGGAGCACACGCCCAAATACTCGGTATCGTCACCGAAACTGATACTAGTATTGGTATCGGTGCATCCCTAGCCCTGACCCATCGATCCATGGACTCCACTAGACCTCGAAAGGTGTGCTGTGGTATCTGGCACCAATCTGTCAGTAGCAGATCCTTAAAGTCATGTAAGTTGCTAGGTGAGGCCTCCATGGATCAGACTTGTTTTTACAGCACATTGCAGACCGGAAACATCCCACAAGAGCTGCATTTTTGGAGTTGCTCTGACCCAGTCGTCTAACCATCACAATTTGGCCCACAATTTGGTCATTTTTTGCAAGTCATTCATAAATACATGAACTATATGGCTACAAGCCCGTAGACGCCTAACCCTCACAAATGCTCTTTTGGCTAAATGGGCACAAATTCCCACGGACACCCTTCTCAGAACAGTGGAGGTCATCATAGGTGCAGAGGGGGCCAAGTCGATATTAATGTCCATGGGTTTTGCAATGGGATGTTCAACAAGATCATATTCACTATAAAACTGTCATTTTGTGGACACCTGTCCATCAAACCTATACTAGTTTGTTGGACATCCTATTAAAAAAACATGGGGCATTAATATGGAGCTGGTCGCCTATTGTGACTATAATAGCCTCCACTCTTCCGGGAAGGGTTTTTACAAGATTTTGGAGTGTGTCTATAGGAATTGTGAGTTCAGGTACTGATGTTGGATAAGTCTGTGAAGGTTCCCATTCATCCAGGTCATGGTATATCTGTAAAAAATAAGTCAAGGGAACTGGACTTGCTGTATGTTTCCTGAAACGGCTTCAAGAAAAATACAGCAAGTAGAGTTGCCTTGACTTATTTTTTACAGATGATGTTGGATAAGTCCTGGCTTCCAAAAAGTGTTTGATTTCATCCCAAAGGTGTTCAGTAGGGTTGAGGTCAGGGCTCGGTGCAGCACACTCAAGTTCCTACGCACCAAACTCATCAAACCATATCTACACTGAGTGGCCAGTTTATTATGACCACCTGACGTTTGTAGGCAAATTAGCTATAATTAGGTGCTGAAGTTGCTAGAGGGCCAGACCATTATAAATAGGGAAGCAGGTTGTTTACCACGACAGTAGAAGTGATTTGTTTCTGAAGATACAGGGAAACAACGCGATTTAACAGCCTTTGAACGTGGGATGATTGTTGGCGCGGAGCCATGGAGCGAGTATCAGCAAAACAGCAGAATACGTTAAATGTTTAAGAGCAGCTGTTGTTAAAGTGTTTAAAGACTGGACTGTCAGCCGAAAATCTGGGTCTGAATGTGCGAATTGTGGCCGTCAGCGACTAGTCAATGTTAGGGCAGAACGGGGGAGGGGCAAGACTGGTACAAGACAACAGAAGGGCAACAGTGCCGTGTCAGATTCCTCGCATCACCTTTCATCATCTCGTGGAGTCACGAGGCGGCCCAACGAAGTACTGATGGGGTGGTCATAATAATCTGGCCACTCAGTGTATATGGAGCTGGCTTTGTGCACATGATGGAATAGAAAATGGCCTTCAACAAACTGTCAACCAACCAACAGCACCCTTTACTGGAAACACCTGAACCCATCCATTTGGAGAAATGTCCACATAATTTTGGCCAAACTGTGTACATTCTCTCACTACAGTTTTTTCTTTAAAAAGCTGCCAACAGTGAAGTCTTACAAATATGTCCCCTTATAATGAGCTATCACTCACCTTCTGGTCCAGCAGCACAGTTGATACCAAAATAAACAAACCCTAGATAAAAAAGCAATACAAGTCAGTATTCTGCATTATGGTGCAAGAACATGAATATTCATTCACAGAATTGTGCAACATGTTTGTAAATATTGCATTTATTATGTTCAGGTCTTCCCCCCAAAACTTTGTTTCTTTTTTAACCACTTGAAGACTAGGTGTTACACCCCCTTCCTGTCCCGGCAATTTTTCAGTATTCAGCGCTGCGGTACTTTGACTGACATTTATTCCGTCATGCAGCGCTGTACTGAAATGAATTTTATATCGTTTTTTGGGGACAGATAGAGCTTTTTTTTGGTGGTATTTAATCATCACTGGGGGGGTTTATTTTTTACTATATAACGAAAAAAAAGGACCGAAAATTTTGAAAAAAAAAAAAGTTATGTTAAAAAAAAACATTTATTCTTACTCATATTTTTGGTAACGTCGGATAAATAGACACTAAACATGTCAAGCTTTAAAATTGCGTGCGTCCGCGAAATCGCAATAAAATACTATACCTAAAATTGGCCATAGGCGACGCTTTAAAAGCTTTTACCGCTCATCAGTTTAGTGTGATCAGTGTATAATGGCCCTATAATTATTGCTCGCACTCCGACGTTCGCAGTAATATGCAACATGTGCAGCGTAATGGGCGCAATCGTCGTTTTCGCACGTATGCGCACCGGACCCATGTTTGCACGCCTATATGTGGGGTTGGGACTTTAAAAAAAAAATTGTGTTTTTAAAATTATTTTTTATGCATGCGAAACTTAATTTTTTTTTTTTTTACTTTTTTTTTAAACTTAACTTTATTATTATCACATAGGGGGATAAGAATCCCCCTATGTGATAGCAAAGAGGATGTGACAGGTCCTCTTTAAAAAATTTTACGTTTTGGACAGAGAGGAGAAGGATCCGACCCATGCCATGTTTTTTATTGGTGTCTGTGTCTCTGTAGGGCCTCGTTCACACCAGACACTGGTTCTGGCCGGAACGCACTGCATTGCATTGTGGCCGGCTCACTATGTTGTGGGGCCGGAGGGCGTGGCCACGGTACCATTCACTTCAATGGACCGCCACGCTCTCTGGCCGCAATGCGATCGGCCGCATGGGAACACAAGGCGCATCAATGCCTGCAGTTCGGTCCGAACAAAATAGTGCTTGCAGCATTTTGTTCGGACTGGACTGCAGGCATTGATGCGCCTTGCGTTCCCGTGCGGCCGGTCGCATTGCGGCCGAAGGGCGTGCCTACAGTGCCATTCATCTCAATGGACCGCCACACCACCTCCTGCCCCACAACATAGTGATGCAGTGCGTTCCGGGCAGAATCGGGCCGGAACGCACTGTGTCTGGTGTGAACGAGGCCGTAGGGAGATTCACTTCCCCTATTTGTCCTGGTGAATGTTATCACTGAAAGTGAAAGAAAATCCCAAATGTTGTGTTCTAATGAGTTCTGGTGATCACCAGTCATTTCCCTCACTTTGAAAGGATTTCCACTCAGTTCCTGTTGTGGCTATTGGAGAGGAACTGAAAGGAGATCTCCCCAATGGGACACGGTTGGCAAAAAAACCCGATTGGGGTTAAAATCCTCCCTTACTCTATGCACAACAAACAAAAAAATGTAAAAAAGGTTTTGGCTGAAGTCCTACTTTAACCAGTTGACATCCGTGGTGTTAAACCCCCTTCCCATCCAGGCCATTTTTCAGTATTCAGCGCTGCGGTAAAACTCCATGAATTACACAAAAAAACTACCTTTGCAGTCCCAATTATGCCACCCTACCACGCCCCATGTTGCAAAGGTAGTTTTTTTTTGCAATTCCTCCATTTGCGTTTAAATGACTTTGCTGGGGGGAAAAAAAGCCTATTTATAGAACATTACATTATGGCCATTAGATGGAGCGTTTCACTTTTCGAATGTAGTGTGTTGTAATATTACATTATAGCCACTAGATGGAGCTTCTCCCAGTTCGAATATAGTGTTTTGCAATACTAGTTATGGACACTAGATGGAGCTGATGAGCATAGGAAATAAATGCTTCCCCCATATACTCCTCAGCTCCATCTAGTGGCAATCATGTGCCATTACAACACACTACATTCAAAATGGGAAAAAATATATTCGGAACATTAGTTTTTGACATTATATGCCCAAAACGAACGTTCAAAGATATTCACATTGCGAAGGGCCCTGCAAAATGTTTATCAATAGACCCCATACTGCCTTTCTGTACAAAACAGTATCAAATGACAGCACAACATAGCTGTTTATAACGCTATTAACTATATGGCTCTTTTTTATATTGTTATGCACACAGGAGGAGCTGAAAGACTGCAAGTGTAATATGTCAGGCAGTTGACATTTCAGTAATTGTCAGTCCTCAGGGGGGCCTCTCAGTTCCACAGTGTCCTCAGACCAAGTAGCAATAAATAAGGGGGGGAATATAAATCTACCCTCATGGCAACAACTGCTGCAATGAAGACCTGCGGAATTCAACATGACTTGGTCTAGAAATACATCTGCTGGTTACCTTGCTGACTCTATAGCCATCTGATTGCTTGCATGTGCTGCCCTGCAGTGTGCCCCCCCTCCCCTCCTGCAGCGCTGCCCCCCCTCCAGCCGTGTTACCTTCCATCCCGGGCTCCGCCGTCCCCTCTGCGGGCCTGGCTGTCAGCAGGAAGATGGGAGGGAGATCAACATTGTCCTCCTTGCTGACCTCCTCTCCGACGTCTGAATGCGGAAATGATGTGTAGAAGAAGCTGGTGAAGCAGATCTCTTCTTCATCAGCTTCTTTGGGGGTCCCCAGGTGACATTAGGGATCTTAGAGACCCCTGATGTCTCCATAAAGAAGACCTTCCAGTGTGCCTGTTCTATCACATAATGCTAAGTGTTAAAAAAAAAGGTTACATATATAAAAAAAAATCTTTAAGTCTCACAACCCCCATGTCTACGCACATATAAACGTAAATACGCATCAGGTGCACCAACGTGCGAAAATTACAATTGCGCTGCACATGTTACATATCATCGCGAATGTCGGAGTGCGAGCCAAAATTTGAGGGTCGTTAATCACTGATAACACTAAACTGATGAGCGATAAAAAGCTTTTACAGCGTCGCCTATGGCCAATTTTGGGTATTGTAGAATGTTTTGGTTTCGCGGGGCACACGCAATTTTAAGGCTTGACACGTTAGGTGTCTATTTACCCGACGTAATTTTTTGCTAATTTTTCCTTAATATAGTAAAAGATAAAAAAACCCAAAAATGGTATAAAATTAATTTCAGTACGTTGCATGACACAATAAAATGTCAGTTAAAGTACCTCAGAGCTGAATACTGACAAATGGCCTGGACAGGAAGGGGTCACACCCCAGTCATCAAGTGGTTACATTGTCTTAAAAATGTCTAAATGTTTAAAGATCCAAATTAAATGTCTAAACATGCTTAAAATGTCTTAAAAGCTCTTTTATATAAACCCATGATGAATTAAAATGTAAAAGCCTTGTATTCTGCCGTAAAATCTGATCTATTTCCCATGCAAATGTTTTCTAAAGGCATTTCTAAAGGTGTATGTCACACTTACCTGAAAAGAGTTGAGTGCTGAGAATATTGCATTGAAAACCTTATTTGTAGGATCAGCTACCACTCCGAGGCCGAATCCCCAGGTGGTTCCCAGAAGAGGAGTGAGGACTGCCATAGTTTTAGCAATCACAATTAAAACTTGTCTTTCCTCTCTCCCCGGCTTTTCTCCAACAGTAGGCCTCATCAACTTAAAGATGACCACCAGCAAGATCAACATATTGATGAACACAATGGTTAAAGCTGGCACCACGAAGGCCAGGAACGGTCTGTCATTACCGTAGTCAAGCCAGCAGAATTTGTCGCTGATAAATCTTTTTCTGGGTTCAGTTGAAGCCACTGTGATAATGGTTATCAAGAGAGGACATCCGTAGCCCAGGAGGAAAGCTATGATCATCATGGTCTTCCTACTCATGTCATGCAAGATATAGATCAGGCGATAAAAAAGAATGAGTCCCGTGGTCAGCATCCAGAAGAACAAAGACAAGTAGAAGAAAAAGCTGAAGAAGGCCGCGGCTTTGCAGGCAGATTTATCTTTAGTCTTCTCTAGTGCTGCACCAATGATAAACCAGATATCGGCCACCAGCAGTGTAACGGCAATATTTACCAGGCAGACGTGACGTACGTAGGAGGTCTTGTTTTTGATAACGGATGTCCACACTAAGGCCTCGATGAGTAGAGTGATCACCAAGCAAGCAAGAGATATCCCGACTCCGATGTAAGTAATCAGTTCCACAAAGCCAGCTGGATCTGGATCTCCCATAAGAACTGAGAAAGAAGTCAAGTGGTTACATGAGCATGTTATTGTACCATTTTCATCTGAGGGTTCACAACCGCTATTGTTCCAGATGTTCTTCTCCAAGTCAAACCAGACACAGTCTGGTGCCACTAATGACGCATTACTCTTTTTAAAGGACATACTTATAGTAAGTGTTTTGCCATCTATTATGGAGGAATTTCCAAGGATTGTTGACATAACCAGACCGTTGACAACCTTTTTTGAGTCCTTCGGCAAAATGTCCTTCATCGTACTGTAAGCGATGGTGATGACTGAGCTGGAGATCCCTGGCCACTTGTTCTTATCGATGAACACACTGCCAGTTACGTTTTGAAAGGAAAAAGCCCCATTGTAGTCAGTGGCTTTGCTCATGATTTGTCCAAAAAGCTGAATGTTTTTGTTGGCAGATTCGTTTTTTATGCTGATCGTGTCAGTGAAGTTCAGATTTTTCGCAAAAGTCTCTACAGAATTCAGAATGGTCGCACTTTGGTTACTTACTTTCTCCCAAGCGCTGGGTTTGTCCACCACAACATCAACTGTTTCCATAAAGAACTAGGGGGAAAAAAAAGTCTTGTTTTAATACTATTATTAGTAGAACTCTAGGGAAACACCTCAATGGACTGATGAAATCCATACATGCAGGGCCGGATTTACTCTCTCTGCTGCCCAATGCCAGGTTCCTCAATGTGCCTCCCTGTATGCAGGCTGCATACAAGTGATCTCGGCGACATCTCCGAGATCAATTGTACAAAACAAGCGGCGGTTTCCCCGCTGTATATTTAGCTCTGCTTGCCCAAAGTAGGGCTAAATGTAGAAAACAACTACCTGCGCCCGGAACTACATATCCCGGGCGTCGGGAGATTGGAATTCACACCCTTGCTGCCGCTCTACTCTCTGCTGCCCCGAGGCTGGGCCTCGGTTGGCCTTGTGGGATATCAAGTAAACGATAAGATAAATAAAAATTTTAAAAAGTAAAAAAAAATAAAAAAGTAATAAAGTAAAAAGGAGCAATAAAAATAATTAAAACTAACCCTGCTGCCCTGCTATCTGGTTGCCATTCTCCATTGATGGGGGGGGTTTCGGCGGGGGGGGGGGCGCATTGCAGAACCTGGCCTTTTGGGGCAGGGAGAGAAAATCCGGCCCTACATACATGGCTACTATTTTGCCCGCATAAGGTTTTTCTTTAGTGTTCGGCTACTCTTGTAATTTACATATACTGCAGCGATGAGAGGATCATACTACTGCTTCCTGGTTCAGATTTACTACTTCCTAGCTCACTTATCCATACCTCCCATCTGTCCCTCAGCTGGAAGAACTGTTCCTCTTTTTTAACCAGATGCCTCTGCCCCCCTTTCCTCCCCAGTTGTCCCTATTTTTGGTCTGAAGTACACATACTGTATGTGTGAGGCTGGGGGGAGGAATTCACTTTAGTAAACGATTGCAAATCAGTTTTGCTTGTCTGGCTAATACAGACCCGTGTACCTTCATCATTGTTTTGTCAACTGTAACATTCGTGTTTCCCACTGAAGAAATGATCGTCACCATCAACTCCAACGTCTTCGAAGAGTTCTGAATAGTTTCTTTCTCACTGGTGGCGGTAATGCTGATATTACTGAGTAATTCCGACAAGGACTGCTGTACCTGTACTGCTGTGCCATTGAGCACGTCCTAGAATGACAAGATGTACAAAGTAAACGTTCAGCTGTCTAACGCACAGTATGACGTACGGTTATTTTTAGAGGTTGATTGCTACTTTTATGTAACCGGTTTGACCTTTTCAATGCCGTCACTTGGTGGATTTATCCTCTTATGTTTTTACATATACTCATTATGAATGTATAGATACAATGCCAAGTACTACATCCAGGGGCGTCCCGAGGCTGGGAGTCACCCGGAGCCAAGACCGAGTGACACCCCGCTGTGACGTCATCACGCATGCGTGTGAAGTTGCCTCGCACATGCACGGTCTTCTCTTGACGGCTGCCAGCAGCCATCTTGGTGATGGACGCCGGCAGAGAGAGGAGTGGACGTTCACCTGGCGGGATGAGGTATGCCGCCGGATCCCCTCCTCTCTCCTGACACTTTCAGGCTCTTGGTCCGTGACCCAGTGCCCGACTTTTCATAGGGGGTGACACCAAAATGACTGTCAGTCATTTTGGCGTCACCCCTCCAATGGTGGCACCCGGGTGCCCCCCCGGCACCCTCCTTGTGACGCCACTGACTACATCTATGTTCTATTATAGTTCAACGAGGTCCAAATGATCCATAGTGATATGATCTTTCATGCGCAGTTTACCCTCTCACCTAGAACTCTGAAACTACACTGTGATGAATGTATACATTCTTCTATTATAATTAGTAGGGATGCACTGATACCGATACTAGCATAGGTATCGGTGCCGATACCGAGTATTTGGGTGAGTACTTGTACTTGCCCAAATGCTCCAATACTATCCCCGGAACTGGAACTTCCGGTCAGTGCAGCAAGGTAACATGGAGCCAGCTTCCCGGCTTCCTGATTGGATGAGAAGCTGGCTTCACTTGTTGCTCGGCAGCCTGGCTTCCTGAACAATCAGGAAGCCAGGCTGCCGAGCAACAAGTGAAGCTGGCTTCCTAGCCAATCAGGAAGCCGGGAGGCGTGTCATAACCTGTTTGGAAAGGAAGCCGCATCCATGCTCCCTTGGCACTTGCGGTCAGACCCTCTGACTAGAAGTTCTGGTATCAAGGAAGGTATCAGAGCATTTGGTCGATTACAAGTACTCCAGGGACATGCGGTCAGGGGAGGCAGGGGAGGCTGAGCCTCACCTAGTATTATACAGAGAAAAAGCTGTCAGCTTCAAGTCAGAAGCTGACAGCTTTTTCTCCATTCAGACCAGCTTCTTACCGGTTACACAGCGGGGAAAGTCTCCTCGCTGTGTAACCTGTCACGCATCTGGCTTTTGACAGGTACTTAGGTTTCACAGCAGCGGGCTTCCCCACTGCTTGTGTAACCTAACTTGGTGAGGCAAGAGCCGTCACAGCCTCTACTCTGTGTTAGAGGCATGAACTCTGTGGATGGCTTGGACCAATAGCAAAGCGCCATTGGTCCAAGCTGTCCAATCAAAAAAAAAAAGAAAAACAAAACGATGAGGACATCGATCTCGATGCCTCACCAGTGATGAGCAAGTGGGGGACAGGGAGGCTCCTCCCTGTCTCCTCTCTTCCTCCTCAGCTTGGTTACCAAGCTGGGGGCGGGGCTTCGGCAGGAAGGGGGTGAAGATTCAGCGGGATGGGGCGGAGCTTCGGCAGGCTGGGGGATGCCTCATCCACCACGGAAGGCGCGGCACGTCACGTCACTGGAGTACTCGCCCAAATACTCGGTATCGGCAACGTGCATCCCTATTTATTACTATAAGTATGTGTATCTAAACATGTTAACCGTGCTCAGATAGATCCCAAAACAGTGCAGAGAATACCATTTGTATTTTAGCCCTGCCTTGGCTCGGCTGGCACATATTGGGTTGCTAGAACGCATATTTAAACCACCATATTTCCTTCACTATTGCTATAACTTGTGCACAAAGGTTCACACACATTGTGGTTGAATAATACATTCCATGGGCGTAGATTTTGCCCAGCATTGATGCATGGCCGCACACACATATGCCATTGAATGTGGCCCATTGTGTCATCATACCAGTATCACAGTCCGGAGGGAAGCGGTTACCTGAACATTCAGCAGCTCCTGGAAAACCTTTGTGGAATAGCACTCATCTACCGGCTCTGACCAGCTCCCATCTCTGCAAGTGTAAGTTAAGGTGCCCAGCTTGGCTGTGTCCCTGGTCTGACATGGCACGGCGTATGTCTTACCGCTGGGTGTTTCAGGAAGTTCCTTTTGGGCCTTGCAGTTTTCCCCTGGTCCTGCAGCCAATGAAATAGGAATGTAAAGGATAAGTGCATATGGAACACACATTATAAAATATTGGGTGGCACCAAGTGACTTAGTGCAAATATAAACTCTGACTTTTCTTTGTCTGTGCTTCGAGAGCTGATGACCAAAAGATTGCATTGTTTACATTCAGAATGTCTGCAGTCTGCACTGATCAGGGGAACGGTGCAGACAACAGCTACTGTGCCTGTTTTATTCACTTAAATCAATATTGGAAAGTAGGATGCACATGTAGAGCAGACCTTCTCAACCACGGTGCCTTCTGGCTGTCTTGGGAGGTGCCTCAAACGTTTTGCACAGCATCATGCCTTCCCATTGTGCAGACAGCCTTCTGATGTGAAAAGGGGGCTTCTTATGTGAAGGGGACTCCTGATGTGAAGGGGGCTGCTGATGTGAAGGGGGCTCCAGATGTGAAGGGGGCTCCAGATGTGAATGGGGCTCCTGATGTGAATGGGGCTCCTGATGTGAAGGGCGCTCCTGATGTGAAGGGCGCTCCTGATTTGAAGTGGGGACTCTGATGTGAAGGGGGAACTCTGGTGTAAAGGGGTGTTCTTATGTGAAAGAGGAGCTCTGATGTAAAGGGGGCTCCTGATTTGAAGTGGGGACTCAGATGTAAAGGAGGGACTTTGATGTGAAGGTGGGACTCTGGTGAGAAAGAATTGGGCTCCTAGTGTGTTGGGGGTACTCTAGTGTGGAAAGAGGGGGCTCCAGATGTAAAGTGGGAATTCTGATTTGAAGAGGAAACTCTAATGTGAAGGGGGGACCCTATTTTTATTTTTTTTTGTACAGGGTCCACCTTTAAAATCCATAGCACACTTTGTTTTTTTATATTTATGTTTTTTACATCTTAGTCTGGAAATTTGTCAGACTTTTAAAGGGCGCAGTGACTAAAAAAAGTTTGAGAAACGCTAATCTCGAGGGATGCCTTCTGTGTTGCTTTCAGTCCTGATCTGAGGCATACTCCATTCTACACTGTATAGTGCAGACTGCAGACAAAGCAATGTTTACAATGTCCAGAGCCTGTGATGACGGCTCCTAAGCACAGGAAAAGAAAATTGGGAGGAGAAAGTTTAGTAAATGGAGAACATTGGTTTCTGTCCCTGGATCTAGCAAACAGGTGACATTTTGCTACTGGAGTCCATCAAGGCATAAAGTTATATCGAACCTTACACCAAAGGTTACTAACCCTGCGAGCCAAGAGCTCAACGGATAATTTATAATCTCAAAATCTGAAAAAAGTCTGCTTGTTCAAAATATGCTCTTTTTTGGGGAAAATGTTAGGAAATTTACCCCAACTGATTGAAAAATGTGCCCCAAAATCCCCATAACAAGTGATTGTTGATAGATAAAACTCCTGTTCCCATTAAAGTCTAAGAATTATGCATCCTGCAAATCTGCATGTTCATTTGTCATGTGTGAATGTGGCCAAAAACGAATGTTACCTGTATATTTTCTATCCGGGTTGAATGTAATTCATTCATTAGATTAAAGTAAATTAAGAAAAATACCCCATTATGGCTACTAGATGGAGCGGAGGAGTAATGTACCCGGAAACATTCTTTCCGGGTCGAATGTAATATTAAGAAAATTCCACATCATTGCCACTAGATGGAGCGGAGGAGTAATGTAATGTAATACCACATTATGGCCACTAGATGGAGCGGAGGAGTAATGTAATGTAATACCACATTATGGCCTCTAGATGGGGCTGAGAAGCAAAGGATATATATATATATATACTTTTTTTCCTATGCTCCTCAGCACCATCTAGTGGCCATGATGTGGAATTTTCTTAATATTACATTCGACCCGGAAAGAAAATATACCAATTGCATTGGCTTTGGCCCCATTCAGCCAGAATGAATGTAGATGCAATTTCACATGACGAATGGCACTGCGAATTCTTTATAAATACACCTCTTTATGGAGTGGCTGAGTGAAATGGTGTCACTGCATTGAGGAAGTCCATCCTATGGGCATCTTCAATAATTAACTTTACAAACTTCTAGATGGATCTGGTTGTTAGGAGCGGGATAGAACGTATAGAAATTCAATATAGAACTACAGATTTAGTTTTTGACCACAGAGACCCTTTAACTAAAACCAATGTGTAATGGAAAGGCAATCAAGTATTAAAACATTTATAGTCCCCTTAGGGTTGTGTTGCCAAGACATAAGCCTACTTTGCCTTACCTGGTTCATAGCTGATGGTCATGGCATCACTAGTGGCAAAGTCACCCCGCCTGTTGAATATCATACAAGAGACACTGGCCGGTGTTTTAGTATTACAGTTAAAGGTTACGCTGGTGGAAGAACAATTTGGATTTGCAACTGAAAAACAAGTATTAATAATTAATAATACCATTGTAAATAAATAAACAAAAAGTAAAACTAATATTGACATCAATTATCCTGAAAGGTATCCCTTTAAACGCATCCTCTGCCCCCAGGGCCTGAAACACATCAGACTGACAGCACTACACAATGCAGTATAGTCCGCATTGTCTCACGGATGGTACACAACTTCCTGGGCCGATTTCAAAGGATTGTGACAAAATAATATAATTGGATTTAATGGCAATTACACCAGCGGTATTTTATATGTACACTATATTGCCAAAAGTATTGGGACGCCGACCTTTACACTCACATGAACATTAATGGCATCCCAGTCTTAGTCTGTAGGGTTCAGTATTGGGTTGGCTCCGCCCTTTGCCGCTCTAACAGCTTCAACTCTTCTGGGAAGTCGTCCACAAGGTTTAGGAGTGTGTCTATGAGAATGTTTGACCATTTGTGAGGTCAGGTACTGATGTTAGACGAGAAGGCCGGGCTCGCAATCTCCGCTCTAATTCATCCCAAAGGAGTTCTATCAGGTTGAGGTCAGGACGTATGGACCTTGCTTGGTGCACTGTTGCGCAGTCACTTTGGAACAGGAAGGGGCCATCCCCAAAATGTTCCCACAAAGTTGGGAGCATGAAATTGTCCAAAATGTCTTGGTGTGCTGATTCCTTAAGAGTTTCCTTCACTAGAACTAAGGGGCCAAGCCCAACCCCTGAAAAACAACACCACACCATAATCCCCCCTCCACCAAACTTTACACTTGGCACAATGCAGTCAGGCAAGTACCGTTCTCCTGGCAAACGCAAAAACCCAGACACGTCCATCAGATTGCCAGACAGAGAAGCGTGATTCGTCCCTCCAGAGAACACGTCTCCGCTTCTCTAGAGTCCAGTGGCGGCGTGCTTTACACCACGGCATCCCACGCTTTGCATTGCATGTAAGGCTTGGATGCAGCTGCTTGGCCATGGAAACCCATTCCATGAAGCTCTCTACACACTGTTGTTGTGCCAATCTGAAGGCCACACGAAGTTTGGCGACCTCTGCGCACTGTGCACTTCAGCATGCGCTGACCCCGCTCTGTCATTTTACGTGGCCTACCACTTCGTGGCTGAGTTGCTGTTGTTCCCAGTTGCTTCCACTTTGTTATAATCCCACTAACAGGTGACCGCGGAATATTTAGTAGCAAGGAAATTTCACAGAACACCCGAATTCAATGATTTGGAGGGGCGTCCCAATACTTCTGGTAATATAGTGTATATAGAAGTGAAAAATGTTTTATGATTCGTCCCTCCAGAGAACACGTCTCCGCTTCTCTAGAGTCCAGTGGCGGCGTGCTTTACACCACGGCATCCCACGCTTTGCATTGCATGTAAGGCTTGGATGCAGCTGCTTGGCCATGGAAACCCATTCCATGAAGCTCTCTACACACTGTTGTTGTGCCAATCTGAAGGCCACACGAAGTTTGGCGACCTCTGCGCACTGTGCACTTCAGCATGCGCTGACCCCGCTCTGTCATTTTACGTGGCCTACCACTTCGTGGCTGAGTTGCTGTTGTTCCCAGTTGCTTCCACTTTGTTATAATCCCACTAACAGGTGACCGCGGAATATTTAGTAGCAAGGAAATTTCACAGAACACCCGAATTCAATGATTTGGAGGGGCGTCCCAATACTTCTGGTAATATAGTGTATATAGAAGTGAAAAATGTTTTAATAAATATGCCTGGTGGAATCTGTTGTTCTGTATTAGCTGCCATGTTGTGTTGGATCAAAAGTAGAACATGACAATAAGCTAAGGAACCTTTCTATTGTATAACTACTACACATACATCATAGGCATTACCATGTATACATGATATGTATGAATGTTATTCGGGACTTTCTTTTATATATAGCAGCTAAGATTTTTCACATTACATGGAGGTCTTATAATAAAAAAAATTGCATAGCTTATTCATCCAGTGAAAATACTGGTACATTCGATCTGTGCAAGTTAACCAACTGGTCAAATGTTCTTCAATAGCTTCATACAGAATAGAGTGAATGGAGAAAATACCACATTATGGCCACGAGGTGGCGATGAAGATCATAGGAAAATAAATACATTGTATCTCGTTACTTACATGGATTTATTTCCTATGATCCTCAGCACCATCTAGTGGCTATAATGTGGCAATCACTGACTCACAGAAGGACAGATCTTCTACAGATATGAAGGTTACACTTACCAGGTATCAGTGGAGAGCCATGTGTGAAATTTCGAGTGTAGCCAGAGCCATTTACACAGCAAGTTAATGGTACCAGTGCTGTGTTTTCACATGTTTTTAGGTACGTTTGTAGAGGGTGAACTGTTATTTCTTCCTTGGAGGGCAAAGGTATAACAATCACAGTGAGACTGGCATTTGTACTTAGGCTGCCTTGGTAGGCGATACAAAAGTAGGTGCCTGTAAACAAAAAAACAATAAGAACATACAAGGTTGGATTGCAACCCAACCGTCCCAAAGTGCGGCCAAACTGGGGCTAGGGCATCTGACGCATGAAAATTCTAAATCAGGATATAAATAGTTCCTCCGGTCAGTGTACATTACGGGGTGTATTTATAAAATGTTTGCAGAGCTGTTCGCTCAGCGAACGTCTTCGTTTTAGCTCGCACTGCATTTTGGCCATTAGATGGAGCTGAGGAGCATTGGTATTTCCAGAATAAGACTCAATAAAAGGTATTACACTCTTTTTGCAGCCTCGCTCCTCCTCCGTTTTTGCAGTCAAAGGTCCCCAGGGTCATCCCGTATAATACAGTGTATTATGTGTGAGAATGTTGCGGGACATTCCACCGCCAGAGTGGAGGGGAAGAGCTGCTGCAACGACCAGCTAAGCAGCCAGGCATGACCGAGGTTCAGGTGAATATATCTTTGTTATTTGAGCCCCTAGACCCACTGCAAGGCTGCAAGATTTCATATGCCAAGAGTTCTTCTTTAAAGTGACATTAAACCCTCAAATTTTTTAACATAAACCAATACTGTAATGTGTGCCTTACTGTAATCCATGGTTGTTTCCCTTCTCTTTGCTGCCCTTCCTTTTAAATCCTCATGTCTTCTCATGCTGGACAGAACTTCCCTTTTCAGCTCAGGGCCTCTTCCTGTAGTGCTGGCTCAGATTACAAGACTATGCAAACAGATACACAGACACCGTGTATCTATTCCTGAGACAAGGCAGTCTGCTGCAAAACAGAAGTTCTGCCCAGCATGAGAAGAGATAAGGATTTAAAAGGAAGAGCAGCAAAGAGAAGGGAAACAACCATGGATTACAGTAAGGCGCACATTACAGTATTGTTTTATGTTAAAAAATCTGAGGGTTTAATGTCACTTTAAGTCTGATGACCATGTTACATCCATGTGATCTGTCCAGAATATAAAAAAACTCTTTGTCATACATCACATATGATTTTACGCACCAGCCCAGGAAGAGGGCACTCTGTCTTTCAGTAAATATTTCCCAGAAGCCACAATGTCGGTGTCTTTTGCCCATTTAATATTGGCAACTTCGATATCTATGTGGCAGGTCACATTGAGATTTTGTCTTCGTGAAAGTTCCACGGGTGACTGCACTGTGATATTCGCTGCAGGAAACAGAAAAAGAGATTTAATAAGCAGCCACATAAAGTACTACGTTAAAGGAAACCAAAATGAGTAAAATGGAAGCAGAGGTCTGATATAGGAATGATACAGGAGACACCTCCTGCACCACCTTTCTAAAGAGGACCCCGAGAGCCCCCAACTGAGCGCTCTGCTCTACTATGCAAATATTGATGTTAGAATATAAGTAACAATACTAATACTGTTTAGAGGGTATTATTCATATAGGGATTATATATGAATGTGAAGAACATGTGATGATTGATTTTCTATATATACATTTGTTCAGTTTGGGAATATACGCAAGCAGACTAAAGTCTATGGTTTTAGTTGTATTTGCTGCACATGTGTTACTCATCAATCATGATGGTAGAGGTGGCTAGAACCTCCCACATTCCTAATTACTGAGAAAGGCTGTGAGAGATATTCTAAATCAAAGTTTATGAAGTGTTTACAAACTGTGAATTATATCTCTTTACTGTAATATTTCTTGATTAAGTTATTTATAAAAGAAAGAATATTGAATTGTGTATAAATATTGATACTTGTGACATAACATGGTTTATATGATAGTTGAATGCATTTGAACTTGTAGTTAAAATGAGGGAAAAGGTGGGGGCATTTCCATCCCCCTCACTCCTACTAGTAGTCTAGAGGTGCCCATACACCTGCCGATTATCGTACGATAATGGCGGGTGATCCCGCGATCGTACGATAATCGGCAGGTGTATGGGCAGCGTGCGACCGTTTCTACTGTACGGTCGCACGACTTTCGTCTTCCGAGTACGCTTGAAAACCCGCCGAGAATCGTACGATTTTCGGCGGGTTGGTGGCGTGGTCGGAAGACGAATGCCGCACACTGCCCGCTCAGCAGTGCAATCATCGGAAACCCTCCCCATAGTGGGTAGGGCTTGCGATGATCGCAAGTACGATCTGCCTGTCCAAGACGCTAGGTCCACCTATCTACAGAGCAGTCCGAGAGCCCCCAACTGAGCGCTCTGCTATAATATGCAAATATTGACATAGACAAGACCCTGACCTTGAACTCTCATTGAAAGGTAAGTAATGGTGGTGATTGTGATGGTGTTGGTGGTGATAATGGTGGGGGTGGTGATGATGGTGGTGGTGGTAGGTTCCAGGTTGTACAAAAAAAAGCAGGGAAACTGTGAGCCCCTCCTATGGTATCTGTAAAAAATAAGTCAAGGCAACTGGACTTGCTGTACAGCAAGTCCAGTTGCCTTGACTTATTTTTTACAGATATACCATAACCTGGATGAATGAGAACCTTCACATGTCTTCACAGACCCCCCTATAGTATTTTTTTACTGACCCCCCCAATGGAATTGCTGAATTACTGAGTATATACAGGTGGTCTATAGGCATGCTAGGTCCACTTATCTACAGAGCAACCCGAAAACCCCCAATTGAGCACTTTTCTCTAGTGTGCAAATCTTGACTAGCTCTCATAGACAAGAGCCTGCCCATGAACTCTCATTCAAAGGTAAGTAAGCAGCGTGGTGGTCGTGATGGTGGTGCTGGGGGTGGTGGTGGGGGTTGTGATGATGGTGGTGATAGTGGTGGTGGTAGGTTTCAGGTTAGTACAACAAAGCAGAAAAACTGTGAGACTCCCAATAGTATTTTTCTCTGAGCCCCATTGGAAATACCGAATTACTGGTTATATAGGTCTATAGGCACACTAGGTCCACTTACTGTATCTATAAAGCAACCAGTCAGACCCCAATTGGGCCCTTTGCTCTTGTATGCAAATATTGACCAGCTAGATATCCATTCTGTTTTTACATCTCGGTTACAAAGTATAAGCTTTTTTTTGCCGCAAGATACAATGTTACAATTCAATTGACTGCAGGAGTGAATGAGCATATAAATGTAAGCATTGCTATGCCAATCCAGCGGAAAGGCTCTCCCCACCATGTTGAGAGTATGTGACCTAGTATGTTTGGGGAGGATGCACACTCATCAACCTCTTTCCTGACCTGGCAGGCTGCATGCTCAAGAAAGGGTCCATGGGGGGGAACCCATGCCAATTTTTGCATAGGCTCCTCCTTAAAATCTGTACCAGACCCAAAAGGCCTGGTATGATTTTTTTTTTTTAGTGTGTGTGTGTGTGTGTGGGGCGGGGGGG